GCAGGGATGAGGAGGAACAAGACCCAGACACTTGATCCAAGCTGGGCAACAGGATTATTTCATACCATGGATGTCACATTCAATATAAATTAGAAAGTCTGCTGTGAAGGTCTCTTTTCTGTGATGGCTGCCATCCTGAGAACTTGCCCTGTTGCCGGACCCCTGAGCCCTTCCCTTCCTCACGAGCTGTAGCGCTCGCAGTGTCCGACATTTGCTGTCCACTGCTCGGAGTGCACAGCTTCCTACTGATAGAATTGGCTGAGTATAATCCTTGTATACTTGATATTGGTATCGGGATCAATATTGGTTCTTAAGTGTTATTAATGTTAATTGTCTAGTCTTATTCTATTAAGTCTGTTTATATTTCAACTGTCAGGTTTCCGTGTTTATTCCCGATTCCCCTTCCTGGTTGGGGAGAGGTAAGCGGATGATAGAATAGTTGTCTAAACAACAATAAATTGTTTTGGGTTTTTCAAATCATAACAGCTTCTTGGGGGTTCAGGTCTGACACTATGCATTGTTTGTGTTCACTTCCATTGACACTAGGGAAAAAAGAGTGTTCTTTTTTTGATTGCTGACTTTTGTACAATAGGAATATGTGAAATACAAATACCACTTAATGGGAATGTTTTTATTATATATATATATATGCATGCAAAGAAGTCATCAAGGGCAATAGTTTGGAGAATTAGTAATTAAGTTTTTGTAGAATATAATGCATATTATTCTTATAATCAGTGAAAAGCAGTGATTCTTGTAAATCCGCCTAACTTTGTAATAAAGTACTGTACTGTGGTGTATATGGGAAAGGTTTAGGTCCTTTGCACAAAGCTCTGTGTTATAAAATTGAAAAGCTGCAAATTTGTAATTTACTGTAGTAAGATAGACCTTTGAACCAAATATTTGGAATAGACTTTACCTTTTTTTTTTTTTGCTTGTGTTTACTGTTAATGATATATTTTTGTTACGGCAAAATTGACAAAAATAGGTTAGAGATTTAGCAGTAATATCCTGGAGACAGCCTCAAGAGACAGTTCCTTGCACTGTGGATGGATCATCAATACCTTGACAGTTCATCTAAGTTCTTAAAAATCTGAAGGTCAGATTTTACAACAGTTCTTACTAGGCTATTCTGGTCCTTCACTGACCTTGAAAGGCTTTTGCTATTATGGATCCTTAGTTCTTTTTTTCCCTGCATGTTAAGATACACACAGTTTTTATAAGGGAATAGAGGGAAGAGTTATAAAAATAAACTTCCGTAGACAGATTATTTCAAACAAATAGTAACTTTTGGACTAAATATTGCCTTTCCCACAGTGAAATTCCAGTATCAAAGTGGCCTACAGATAGATTGAATGCAGATCTGTATGGAGATGAAAAGCATCTGTTTACACTGTAATGTTGTCATGAGATGAAAGCTTCGTTGTAGCTAAGTTTATATTCGTGTTGTACCAATTAGCAATTTCAGTGTTAATATTTTACAATTTGGCACGTCCCATGAAGCTTATATTTTGAGCAGCTAAAAACGTAACTTCTTGTCTTGCTTTTTTCTTCATGAGTTTGTTAGTGCTCTTCTTGAATTATGACTATGTAAAGAGAAAAAAACTCTAAAGAGAGCCTTGAAAAACTGTTGTCTTTAATTCTAGTGCAGCTTACAGACTTAACACAAAGTCAGGTTACTTTCCAACAGATGTGATTATCACACAATACCTTACTTAAAACAGCGAATGGATTTCCGCAGTGTGGACAATAAACTTGGTGCTGGAGAAAATACTTTTGAGAAGACATCTAATCATACTCAGTGTCCCTGATTTTAACTTGGTCCTGCAATGAAAATTCTTTCTTCAGTTGTTGGTCTGAGCCCTGTTGATTTCAGCTGTCTCTTTATCTTCCCTGATTCCTGTTTCTTCCTCTCTTCCGCATAGGATCTTTCTGTTTTCTTTAAAAAGAAAACTAGCAAAATACAGCCTCACCTTCCCCTTTTTCTCATGTCTTTTACCTACTTGCCCCCAAACTCTGTTTTCTCCCTTATCATAGACACAGAAATTATAGTTCGGTTTGTGCCATTTAACCCTGTTTTTACCCAGTAACATCAGTCTGCTAATCTGCGTCACACCTTACTGCTTCATTTTTTTTTCTTAACATCTCACTTTCTTTTGTATTAGGATTTTCCAGTTCATAACTGAAAAGGAGAGTATTTTAAAAAATATGTTTGGGTCAGCATGAAACAAAATGGGTTGGAGTCTTTCTTATGTGCAATGGAAAATAAAATATTGTTTAGCTTGTTTCTTCAGTGAACTTGGTTGCCGTGTTTTAATGTCTTTAGACTTCTGTTACCACATCATTTTGTAGGAAGGAGATTCATAAGTTTATTACACACTAAGGATTAAAGAACATGCTTTTGTTTGTTTCAAACTTGCTACCTGTTGCAAAACAAAAGGCAAAATATTTTGGTTTAGCAAATATTGTAGCAAAACATTTAAGTTAGACCCTCTCTCCAGATTTTCATCAAGGCTATATCTACCAATTCTTTCTGTGCAACAGTTCTAAGGTACAGCCGCTTAGTTGCATTTCCATCCGCTTTCAGATCTGAGGCATCACCTAGATCTTCTTATCCTACCATGCAGCTGGTGAGATCCTTTTCTCTGGCCTTGACAAACTCAGTCTTGTCCTTCTCACATCCACTCAGGGTTCTCATGTAAAGGAATCATATTTCTAGCCCATCCTTATGTAACTTTGCAATATTACGCTTGTTTCATCTTTCAGTTGTTCCCCCCCTTCTCTGTAATATCACACAGACGCTACTTGTCGTCCCTTTCAAGGTACTTCAGAACCCATTCCCACTCAGTCATCAGTCACTTACTATTTCCAGCATTCTAAATGTTTTTCCGATACGAATTGTAATCAAGTTAACTCTGTCATAAACCGATTTAGACTGAGTCCCTATTAGAACATCAGTAAACTCTACAAATAAGTCACAATTAGGAAAAAATGCTATCATCACCTTCTCTCAGCACGGATGTCAAAGCCCTTTGAGGGTTTGAGGGGGAGTGTTACACAGCTGCTTGCTTTGTGTTATGTCTCTTTTGTGGACTTGCAGCATGATCACAGTCAAATTTGAGACCTAAGCTTTGAACAATATCAGGTTGACTGTGATTAAATTCCTGGCCCAACAAAATAATAAGATGAATAAGGACCATAGGGATAATGTGTTACAATTTTAAAAGACCAGAAGACTTAAGTAATACCCACAGTTGTGACAGGCTGAGACTTTCAAATGTGCAGTGTATACAGTGACTGCTGAATCAAGCCTTGTTCTTGCTTTTAAACTTTCAACTTTGTATTCTACTGTTGAAGTTAGGAATCAAAAGTTTCCTGTTTTGTGAGTACCAAGCACCAGAGAATAAATGTATACTTGTAATTCATTGTCAGCAGTTTACAATTTGCAACCCATTTGAAATTTATTCTTGGAATTGAATAATAAACTTCTGGAGAAATAACTGAAGATGTAAAATTCAGAATTTGCAGCTTGGAGGATGGAAGTCAGAGAATTATGTTGAGGTCCTTTAGTAGTAAGAATACATTTGCTAACAACAGTGAATTTTTATTAATGAGGAACTGGATTGCTACTTGAAGCTTCTGTCAGTCTTTGTGGAAATGTTCTTTTGAGAAGGACTAGTTAAAACGTCAATATGAAAGCTATTATTGTAGGTTTATCATTTCTTCTTGTAGGTATCTCTTCTATAATTTGAGATTCTGCAATGCCTTCGGGCCTTATATGTCAGAATAAGTTACTTGCTTTTAAAGTTAACTTTTATCTTGATGAGGATTTGTGCTATTTAGGTTTTAGGACCAATCTTGCGCCCATGTCAGCTGGTGCTGGAAATGATAGAGACATTTGGAATCTGGAATAATCAGCTTCACAAAATCATCATGGCTTCTTGAAAGACTGCTGTCAGATTCCCAAATGACTCAAGCCATATTTGAAAAATCTTTGGATCTAATTTATGTTTTTTTCTGTGAGAATCATAAAGGGATGTACTGAGAATTCAAAAGTCTCTGCTGGGCTACCAAGCAAATTGCTGTGCTGTTGTCTAGATTCTGTCCAGTGCCTTGCTTTCAGTGTTACAACTCTATGTGCCAGTGCATGAAAGCAAGAAATGAAAGTAGGAACTGCTATGGTATGATTAGCATGGCAGCATAAAGGAAGTATATATATTTTTCTTTTTTTTAAGGCCAATAACAAGGGGTTAACATGATAAAAACTAATATTAGAAGCTCCTGTCAAAGATGTGACATGGTGAGAATGCATGAGAGATCTGAATTTTTTAGAAGCTCGCCGGGTGGAAATTAAAGCATCACTTGCTGAGCCTCAGGATGGCATTCTTCCTTTCCCACCCAAGAGAACGGGTCTATTGCAATTCTGTATCCCTAGAACAATTAAATTCCTTGTAAGCTAATTTATTCTAGACAGAATGCATTTTTCTGTTTGCATGTGTTCTGCTATTTTGCTACTCATAAATTCTCAGTCTAGAGAATAACCTTTACAAAGGATGAATAAGAATTTCCTGCATTTTATTATCTTCAAAGTTCCACTACGTTTTTGTTGGGGTTTTTTTCCAGTTTTGGAAAGTAAAAGAGCCAAGGCTTGATGTTCTCCAGGATGCTGACAAATTATGTTACAGGTCTTATCTTAGCAATTGAAGCAAATAGGGACCATAAAGATGGCTCTTCATCTGCTGTTATTTCTTCTGAATTATGAAGCAACAGAAATGCAAAATTAAGAATTATTTTAATTCCAGACCGCTTTAGTCTTTGTTACTTCTAACATGTGCAAACTGAGTATATATTGAGGATATACATTTCTTATCGGGTGACTGAATGGAACGTATGTTATTTTCAGTACGTTGCTTTCCTGATTTTCTATGCATTATTCAGAAAATTGACTTCGCAGTAACATAGTTGCATAAAATACAGAGAACTTCTTATCTGTTTTATAGGGTTGTGACTCTCAAATGAGCATGTCTGAAGTGTCCTGCAGTGAAAGTACCTCCTCTTGTCAGTCTCTGGTACATGGCTCAGCTCCAGAAATCCTCGTTGGCCTCCTTTATAATGCTACAACTGGAAGATTATCAGCAGAAGTGATAAAAGGCAGCCACTTCAAAAACTTGGCAGCGAACAGACCACCCAGTGAGTGAAAATCTTTTTTCATCCTAATGCTTCTGTACTGGTGGGGCTCTTGGTAGCAAGGACTTCAATCCCATCATTTAGTCTTACCCAATCAAAATGAAATAGAGCAATGATCAACTAATCTGTTTCATGTTTTTATATTTCTAGTCAGTTGGGAAATAGCAAAAATCTAAAATTCAAAATATTAATTGTAAGTTGACAAGAATCTTTTAATTTTTCATGATGACTGACTAATAAATTACCTTTATCGTAATGATTAATTGCTAAATTACTAATGCCTCACATCACAGGCCAAGAATAAAAATTTGGTGTTTAAAGAAAAAGTACATGCCAGCTAATATTAATATAAACACTCTGAACAGTTATTGCTGTTCCTAGAGGGGTTGGTACTGCAGTCTTTAATTGCTTATGTGCCTGTGTATATGTGGTAGTAATATATGTAACTTGGGAATGTCAGTGAAGACAATAGAGAAACAAATTGAGACCTTTGGCATATGTAGTCGGCAGAAGGAATATTCATCATCGGAAAGGACTTGAACTGTGCGTTCAAGCATTTGTTCAAAAATACATTTTTCTGAAATATCTGTGAACTTTATGTACTTTTAAATTGGAGCCAGATGGAATGTCACACACAAAGAATGTTTTTACTGTCTCTAATTCTTTGATATAGCTTGAGAAAGTTCAGTAATGAATTTTTTTGGAAATTATTTTTTATTGTTTTTTAGATGTTGAGTCTGATTTACATAAGTTGTAGCCAGACATACCTGCCTGTTTCTCTTGATTTTGTCTGGAGGCTCAGCTTTTAGCCCCTCTTCTGCTTCTTAATCCCCAGATTTGTATGACGCTAACAGATTATCTGACACTACTAGATTATGTGGCAGGCTGCCAACATTTTATAAGTGGTTTGCACATCTCACTTCGTCTTCAGAGTTTAGGAAGTAAGCCAAACAACTCGAGACTCCTCTCCTCTTTCTTGACCCATGTTTCATTCCATTCTTTAATTACATTTGGTTCAGCCTTACTCTGCTTTGCTTTCTTTATACTTTTCACACTGATGGAGTCAGATTTCATTAATATGGCCAGAGAAGGAAGGTGAAAAAAGAATCTCTAATACATTTATATAATTAGGTAGCTGCCCCAGAGTCACCTATTTGGAGACAATGCATAGAAATAGATGGGGGAAGCCAAGAAGGCGCAAGGACACCGGGAAGGGGGAAGGAATGACTGGGAGAGAAGGCCTAGAGAGAAGGGACCATGTGTTCCCTTAAAGCAATAAACAGTAGGTGGCTTATGCTTATCTTTCTGCAATCTCTAGAGAAAGCCAAGTTTTCCTTAGTATGTAGAATATGCAAGTTAGATGGGGGTTCAGTACTTGTTTTGAAGACAGATATGTTCATTCCTCTGGTATGTTAACTCCCAAAATGTGCTTTGTGAGCCTGTGCTGTCTAGCTAACTGTTGTGTGTATCACTGGGGTCAGAAATCTCTTTCAGACTGCAAGAAAATAGCGTAACACATGGCACATAGCCCTATATACCATGTTCTGTCTAACCTTTTTGGAGGGAAGATCTTGTGTGCTACCTTTTGTCAGCCCCTGTGAAGGACAGGGGGAAGTTTTGATAGTCATAATAGTAATAGTCCACTTCCATTTAGGCAAATGCAAATGTGGAGTTCTGTTGTTTCTAGAAGGTTAGAAACTAATGAACTTTCTAGGTCTGGTAAGACCATGCACAGAATATTGTGGAATACAAATTTGTCCTGTGGGCTGTTTTGTGCTGTTCCCCTTCCCCCCTGGCAGTGGTAGCACCTTCTTGTAAGCTCCTGGACACAGGTGTGTACCACTGCCATTTCCTAACTCCCTGTTAAGTGCATCGTGGACATGTTCGAGCCTCTCACTGTGCCATTGTTTCACCAAATGAAAACTAAGGCCCATCGGGTTGATGATGTAGTGCTCTGATCAAATTTCTTGTTTGGCCCATCAGTGGTCCAAAATCCTAAGTACACCCACAGTCATTCAGGTTTTGAGAAACTATGATAGAAAGGGAAACAATTATTCTTTCCCACATGCGATCCTTTTTGTAGTCTAGGGGTTGTGAACCTATGCATTTTTTGTGAAATGCTCTGCAACAAATATGGATTGAGTCCTACATTTCCACTTCTTGGTAGTGTATACTCCTCTGCTAAATATTTGTATGTTATATAGTAACTCATTTAGCAACTGAGTACAGGCAAATAGGCCAAATCCTGCAGGCAATAACATTTGATGTTAGAATGTGTCTTCGTTTCTCTGTGTGACATTTAATATTTCGTCTGATGAAAAGATGCTTCTTAGTATCCTTTAAAATTTTGTTGAAACAGGGTATGAGCTTCTGCACATTAAATGCATGTGTGTATGCATGCAAACACACATTAAATCCATAAATACATGGATTTTAACAAGTGAGATCTTTACACTTTAAATAGAGACCCACAGTTGAATTTCAGATGTAAGCATCCCTCAGCTATTTTTAGATATTAGATCAGAGTAATTCTCATGCCCAGGTCCCTCACTACTCAAGAACTAAAGTATTGCAATCAAATATCTGTAACTATAAAAGCTAAGGGCAAAACCAGCTTAGTTGTCAGTTCAGTGATTTTTCATTTTATTGCTTTTAATATATGAAGTATAATTACTGTGTGCAGTTTTTCTTAATATGCTGGAGTTTGCATGAAAAAGCAGAAGGTTTGATAAAAAGGATACAGTGATTTTTACCCAGTCTTCTATAACCTAATTGTTTGCATGATTCTTTCTATGTTGAGTGTGCTTTAGAACCCAGTAGCTATTAGTGCTAAGATAACCCATTATGAAAGCGGTGTAATTTTTGTTGAAGATTACACAAAAACTGCACAAAATTTTCATTTCATGAAATTTTACCCAACAATCCTTTTGTTCAATCCTTTTTCTGATCTATGCTGCTAAGGTTTTGTGTTCTTCCACTCCAGTGAATAGTGTTTCCTCTTAAACTTTAACCTTTGATCCTCTCTCACCCAACTATTGACATCTGGTCATTATTTCTTTTACTGCTTTCCACCCCCTGTTGTCAGACGGACTGTTCTGTTGTCTAAAACACTTGATAGGTGGACAGGTTTATATAATCCGAGGTGAGTTCCTGTAGAAACTAATTGGATGTTGTCTTTTTCATGCAAAAGAAAATTTGCCAGCAGTAAAGCTATCCATGGCTGCCTACCATACTGGTTTATAAAAGTATATCTTTATTATTTGTGGCACTCTCTAATGCAAAAGTTGCATTTATCTCTGATTATGGATGTTGGAATTTCAGTGTACCTGCAAAGTGAAAATAGTCAGTTTGTTTCTTTTTACATAAACTCCAAATCTTTTAATAATATTATTCATTAACGTGAATATGACAGGAATAAAGAATGAAAAAACAGATTATTTAATACAGTTTTGTATTTCTTAAAGTCAGTGATAACTTAATGAAATGCACATCCTTCTGCAGGAGCATGGCTTGGTGCTTCTAGTCAAATGAAAATAGAGTTTTAAAAATAAAGTTTTATACCCAAATACTAACACCCAGTGTGTGCTAACCACTTTTACTTGCATCAGCTTCTTAAGTGTATTTCCTAAGAGCATGGTACAAGCTGTGTTTTAAACAATCATGTTAAATTATGCAAAAAATTCTTTCTCTCTAAAGGTGTATTAAATGTATTCCTTCATGAATCTAGGAATTAAGAGGTTTTTTGTATTGTATGAACTTTCACCTTTGAATGCACTTTGCTACATTTTGGTCTTTAATATAGGAAAAAATGAAAAGCCCAAAGTGAGACCCACATCCATGCAGAGATTATTCTTAAGCATTTCATTTTGGCTGTTTTGATATCATCGCTGCATATCAACGTGGTTTTCGTTTTGTTTTGTTTTGTTTTGTTTTTTTCTCTTCATTAGTTGCTTTCATTCTACTTTGTTTATCCTTATTCTCTGAAAATTCAGTGGTGTGCTTTACAGTGTTGTGGCTAGTTGGAGCTTGCTAAGTGTTAATGCAATTTAAGTTTGTTTAGAACAAATAAGGGGGGGTCGCTGGGAAGAGGATTATGAGGTATACCTTTAACTTAACCCATTTACATAGTACTTAAGTGAGTTAATTTGTTATTGTGTTTGTAATATTCTGCTTACTTGTCATCTTTTCATGTGTCTAAACTAAGCTGTGTTCAGTCAGCCTGGTATACACTATATCCTGTAAATATCTCATTCTCAAAAGCTTTTGTTCTAAGATATCTGACATTCCAAAATATGATTTATTTTGTAGATACATATGTTAAATTAACACTGCTGAACTCGATGGGGCAAGAGATGTCCAAATGCAAAACTTCAATCCGCCGAGGACAGCCAAATCCAGTATACAAAGAAACTTTCGTTTTCCAGGTGGCACTGTTTCAGCTTTCAGATGTGACGCTCATACTCTCTGTATATAATAAGCGCAGCATGAAACGAAAAGAGATGATAGGGTGGATTTCCTTAGGACTCAACAGTTCAGGAGAAGATGAACTCAATCACTGGACTGAAATGAAAGAATCTAAAGGACAGCAAGTATGTAGATGGCATACTTTACTAGAATCGTAATGGATGGTACAAAGTGCAGTTGTGGTTTTAAGGGAGTTTGGTCTTTCAAGAAGATGATCATCCCTGGTCACAATCGACAGATTTGTTGTGGAAGTAAAGAACAAAAATTGAGGTCAACATTCCATCGCAAAGAATGCACAACATGCAAAATGGCGGGATGTAACATACAACCTTCACTTAGGGTCAGACACTTCCTTGGTGTCAGAGAAGCCTTGCTGTACACAGATATGTTAGCGGTCCTCCCCCATCCACCTGATGCTGTATTTGTTTGGGTTTGTTTTGTGGTTTTCAATTCAGAAACATTTTATGTAAGGTTCTCCAAATTAATGTAAGCTCCTCTTTGTGTACTTTTTGTATTGCTCTAATACTGTAGCTTCTGACCTGCCTGCATTCAGATTAAAGGTCAATGATTTGCACTTTGATAAAAAGTTAATGATCTGTAGAGCAAAAGGAAAAAAAAAAAAACCAAACAAAAACACTGATGGAGAAGAACACTTGGTAATATAGCATATATGGATATACTGTTGTTTTACACTGAGTTTCTTTCCAGGAGCTTAGTACAATTAAGTTTTCTTTTCTTTTATATGCAGTTGGTTTGAAAAATACTAGCATTTGGGCATCAGGTGAACTTTGACGTCAAACTAATGTTTCTTCAATCTGTGACAGGAACGACCTCTATATATGGCATAAATTGGGGGTTTCCCTCTTGCCTGTAATTCTGCCTAATCCAAAGAGACCAAATCATGAGTTTGGTCCCTTCCAAATCTCCTTAGACAGGTTGTACTGTAAAACTATGTAACTTTCTGTTGAAAGCACTTCCTGTATTCATGTATTCCAATGTAGGAAGCTCGTAGAGCACGACTTTACTAAAATATATTTTCGTTAAACAAATGATACGGATTTCTTTAAAATGTCAGCAGTTGGCAGTTAGGTTGAAAGACTGTGAAGGAAGTGGCAGCAGTTGAACTACTCTGAACGAACACAAAATACTGTGACTTTGGTTGAAAACAGGTATCCATTTGAGTCTCTTCTAAGCTGTTTTAGGGATTACCATATGCTGTTTGTTGGAAGTAGAGAGCAGACCAGGAGTTTCTACCTTTCTTCTTGGGGAAGAGAACATCAGTAAGTTATTTTTCTAGTGATTTGCCAGCAATTGAATGAATGTTCATACCCAAAATAGAAGTTTGCTTTGCTTGTGTTCAGGTTGGGAAACACAGCTTTCTAATGACACGATTGAGAAGCGTCAGTATCACAAGAAGGTTTGCCATCAGATAAACGCTCATGGGTTCCACTGAAATGAGGGAAATATCAGTGCTTCTGAAATTCCTGTTTGTCCCAAATACTTTAGTTGGAATCGCTCTAGTTTACTGACTGCTGAATCGAATTCATATTTACTGAAATTGTGGATTATTGAGTAAATATATTTTTAAAAAGCTTCCCAATTCAAATATTCTTTTTGCCTCTAATTGTAAGTTTCATTTACTTTTAGTTGTTGCTGTGTTGAAAACAAGTGATTTTTTTTTTATAAATGACGGTTATGTCTTACTAACATGAGGCCTCACTGACTGTTGTAGCACTTGGTGGGTAGAATAGTGAAGTTTGGGATTTTGTTGAGAGAACTAGTGGTAGCCTAGAGTGTTCTCATTAGGACAAATGTTTTTTCTCTCTAATTTCTTTATAATACCTTTGAGCAATCCTGGCTTTAGGGTATACAGACAGTCAGTGCACTGGGATTGGAGACAGTATGCCATAATAAAGGTATTTCACATGGTTCTCAAATTCTCACACTACTTAACAATTTCATTAAGTCCTTTATAGTAATTCCACCTTGGTTTATTTGGTGCCTTTTGAGGGGTTTATTTGCAGAGCCGGACTTTCAGTTTTTATTGATTTAAAGATTTAAAGCATTATTACAAGCCTTTTCATTTTCTTCTTGTATTGCACTGCTGATTCATTTACAGAAGCTTTATTTATTAAATACAAATAATGCAAAAACTTTCTTTAAACAGGTGTGGTCTTGCAGTAATACAATACAAGTTGTCTCTTTCAGTCCTTTTTGTTGCTCAGTTTGTGAAATGTAATGTTGACTGTAGAATTTAATAAAAAATCAACATTAATTTTATATGCATAAGGAAAATGCTCAGATTTTCCCAATCCTTTCAGCTTTCCGTATAATAGAAACACTGACTTAGAAGCTGATCAAAAGCAATTTTTCAATGGGTGTGGAAGTAGTTTTACCCATGCTGTTTGCAGATATTTGGATGCTCTTTCCTAAAGCTGAAAGTTGTCTCTTGATGGTTGTCTCTCTGTACAGGTTTTGCTTTATAAAATAATGTACAGTATTTAACAGCAAGAACTGAGCAAATTAATTCCAGTGGAGAATATACTTAACATCACCATTGAACAAATGAAGAAGTCAGTTTGCAAGGTGCAGCAAATGGCCTCTTACAGAACCAAACTAAACTAAACTGTGCCATGACTTTGGTTTCTGTTTGTAGCTTGCATTGGTTCAGTTTTACATCCACCCATTCAGATTTCTAAGACCCTGAAGTCTTAATTTAGGCACAACAGAGATTTATAGTACTCTGTGTTGGGCACATTTGGGAAGAGGAATCTCTTTCTAGATTGTGTGACTTTTCCCAAGGTATCCAGGGTCCCTTCTGTGCTTCGCAGAAGGAAGTTCGGCTTACTGGGATTTATACTGTACAAAGGCTGGGAACTGAATGTATAAAGAACGGAAATGAATGTTTAATTTTGAGGCGGTAGAATATGGACTTGCCATGCAAAACCAGCCACACCAATAATTGGACTCACCCTGGGATTTTTATGATTTAGTTACAGTTTCAATAGCTGTCATGTTGTTTTTTCTTTCTAGATCCCATTCTGATGATTTGCTTGTCATTTTGTTTCTCTTACCGCTTTATGCAAACCTATACTTTTGTATTTGAAATCTGCCTTTAGATATTGGGGTTTTTTAAACCCTGCGTAAGGGCTTATACATACAGTGTGGTTTTGTGCATTCAGTTAAATCTTAAGCATGGAACAGAATTTCTAAAGAACAAAGTGTCAGACACAAATTAGAAAGAAGCATTTGTGTTTTCCTCAGAGTTCTCTGTGCTTTTTTTCATGGCTTTTTGTAGTTTACCTTTGTTTGAAAGTATGATTAGTACTTGAAAGAGTTTATCAAATTATTTCATTACTTTTCTGTGTGCCAATATACCATGTAGAGATTACAGTTCTTGAATTGAATCTGCTTCTTGACAGTGTAGCCTTAAATAATTATAGAACGGTGACGTTTTTACAGGCTCTATTCTTGAAAAAATTGCATCCTTTCTGCATATGATCTGTTTGGTTTAATGCTTAGAACATTTCACAAAGTTTATCTCACAGATAAACTCTTCTTGAAGTATTACAAATATGAGAAAAGCTCGTTAGTTCCTTTCTGTGGTAGGGGCAAGATTGTGAAGGGCAGCACAGGCAAGTGTGAAATCACCGCGCAGAAGGATGAGAGGTCGTACAGCCTCTGCGGGACATCGCTGTCTCCCACATATGTGGAGGCAAGGAGTCAGCAGAGCCATGCTTCTGTTCCCTGTTCAGCCAGGTGGCACAGGGAAGGAGGATGGTACTTGCAAGATTGAAATCTGGGTCCCTGTGGCCTCATGCTCAGTTAGGACTTAAGACAGCCGTGTTGTAACCACACTGTGAGGTCTGACTGCAAAGGCAGACATTAGGCAAGGTATAAGTTCTGCTGCTGGAGAAATACAACATAATTTCTAAATCCAAGTGAAATCCTCTAACCTTATTAGTAATTAGATTTCAAAATATGGTGAGCCCTTGGAATAAATGTATGTGCTTTCACTAGAGCTGAACATTGTTTATCAATTAAGAAAATACTTGAGCTGAAAACAGATTTTATGGCATTTACTGTAGGAGATATTTTCATCTGTCAATTTTTGCACCCACTCCTGATGGCAAACGGACTGCCAGCATGAGTACCTTCCCGTTTTTCACACCCTTGCAGCAATTTTTTTTTGTTGTCAAAAATTCGTTTGTACTACTGATTTATTCTCTTTTCTCCCTAATGACTTGCTCCTGCAAACTCCCCAGCACCCTCAGAAGCTGTCTGTGGCAGTCACTGGACCTTAGAAGTGAAGAGCACTCTGCACCTCTTACAATAAGGTACTGGTCCAAAATTTCTGTGACCTGTCCAATTCCCTAAGATTTCTGAAATGCAAACCATCAGGTTTAATATAGTGAAGCAGCAGAAGAAAACTTTTTCTTTGAAGGAGGCATTTTAATGTAGGAATCGAATACAGATTGCTGTTACACATACAAGTTCTAACAGAAAGCCTTTGGTAAAATCAGAGAATGAGGTTCGAGGGAAGGCCTTTTGGCCTGAGCTGTTCCAACTTGAAACTAACAGCAGAATGCCCTTTCATTTAACTCGGAGTTGTATTGAGCCCTTTACTTATTCATCGCACTTCTCTGGAGGAAAAAAAAAGCTGTCTTGTTGAAAGGAGTCTTTAATATTATAGCTTGTCAGTTGTAAGGCACACTGACTTCCTCCTGAAGCTGAATTCTCAGTAACAGCTAAACATCCATTTAATTCTCCCACTGATGTGCATGCCTGCCATTAATGTTAATGAGAGGAGCCCATGGGCATCAACAGGAGAGCAGATCTGACCTGAAAAGTGTAAAGTGCAATAGACTAGAGCAGTGGTACAGCATGGCACCTGCAACAAAACCAAATGTGATTGCAATTATGAATGGAGGTAAAAAAGCAAATACTGTCACAAACTTGTTATTTAATCATCACCGCTTGTTTTTGTTTCTTCTTTTCCTCACCTTCTGAAATATTTTTAAAACTCAATATGAAAAATCTTAAAGCAATCCCTGAACATCTTGATCATTTTAACTGGAACATTCAGGAAAGTTGATTGTTGGAACAAGCCATCAAGAATGTTCTGTATTTTGGTCTATTTAACTGAACTGCCAGATTTTGTAGTACATCGCAGCTGGATTTCAGATTACTTTGTTCTGATGGTAGTTTTTGAGGGGAAAGTCACAGGAGTATTTGCTTGTCAGTAAATCGACGTCTGATGAAGGGATGTCATCTGAGAGCGAGAGCATTAAAATTTGAGATGGCTTCATACAGTGGCAACGACAGTGACTCAAATTCTACTCTTGGAGCCTTGTGGCCCTTGCAGGGTCCTACTCAGAGAAACGGTGACATGTGAATCGTGGGAGTTTATACATTCAAAGCGGCACAGCTCTGTGTGAGCACTCCATGGCTTCTAACCTAGCATATTTTACAGATGTAAGCAGGGTAAATAGTGTTTATTTGCCTAGTGTGAGTAGGGTGAGCATCAGCTAGCCTACAGTGACATGGATTAGTTTAGCCTTAAGAACGTATCACTGCCCCTCCTTAAGTTCAAGCAGGGCGTCTTCCTTTCTGCAGACTATG